GATCCCGGTGAGACGTGCTGGGCCGCAGAGGCCGCGCTGGCCGGGAGGGACTCTCCACAGCTCTGCCCGGAGTTGCTGTGTCCTGAGTGCCTGGAGTGGGAGGGTGACAGCAATGAGCAGTTTGCAGCTGCACTCCATCCAGTTAAAACCGGCTCCACAGCCCAACAGTTAAACAGCGGCAAGGGCCACAGTGAGTGGGGACCTGTCAGTGGGTCTGTGGATGGATTGGGCATTGGAGTGACAGTCAAAGAATGACACCAAGGTTTCGGTTTTGTGAAAGATGAACAGATTTAATGTGGCCATTTACTGAGTTTGGGAATAGTAGGAATGGAGTGATTTCAGGAGGAAGATGAGCTTGGGGGTTTAAAAAAACTGAGCTCCCTGTTACATACAAGCCAAGTAGACGAGGGGACTACGTAGCTGGAGTCTGATGTTTCTGAGAGAGATGGGGGCTAAATCTATTTTTGGATTCTTTCAGCATGCAGGTGAATGGTCTGGAGACTGAATACAAAGTCCAAAATCAACCACGGGGCGCTCCAGGATTTTAGGGCTGGGAGAAGAGTCGGCAGTGGACAAATGCAGGGCAAGTGTGATTTCACAACATAGGTGGTTTATTAAGAATGGTCAACTCTTGTTATGTGCCATTGAGTCAGAACCAACCCATAGTTGACCCTCCAGTGTGTTTTCAGAGGCAGTTAATAGCATGGAAGAAGCCAGTGGATTCGAAACATATGCCTTCAGGATTGCAGGGCAGCTTCTTACCATGATCTTCCAAAATCTCTTAGGGCAAGGCTTTTGATTCTGAAAAAAATTAGTCATAGGTATCTTATAAAATGTTTAAACAAGATTGAAGTAATGAAAGAAAATAGCATGTAGCATAGTATCTCCAATGATAATGAAATAAACCAAGATACCATTGAAAAGCAACTTTAAAAATAATTTTGAAGGTGAAGTCAATGAAGATCTTGGTTTTGAGTACTTAGAAAAGGCTATTTAGAGTTTAGGATAGAGTTGCTTCTTTAAGAATTAATAAGATGCTGAATTAAAGATCTCAGTCACAGAAGGATAAATATTGTTGTAAAACGGGACTGACACTGGGGTTGAGGAGAGACTGAGAAAGAAGGGATAAATAATGTATACTGCATCGAAACAGATGAGGGAGAAAACTATTTAAAAGGGACATCTGATTAGATATTATTGTCATGACAGGAGTCCAAAATAAAGGCTGCACAGTGGAGTGGACTTGGGGGGAGGGATTGTATAAAATGAAAGAATTTTACTTTTAAAAGAGAAGAGTGAAGGGGGGTTGGGTGGGTAGGGAAAAAAGTGCAACAAACTTTAATGAAAATTAATTAAAAATAATTTATAAAAAAAAAAAGAATGGTCAACTCACCAAGTGACCACAGGGTCCGAGTTGGTTCCCTAGAGGGCGCTCTGGTGGTGTGGTCCATAGGGAACCTGTAAGTCAAAGGCAGTGCCTGTCTGGAGATCCAGATACAACAGGGGGGCTTCTGCAGGAGGAAGGTGAGCAATCCCCTCCCTGCCACTTCCAGCCTTGGAGGCCCACTGGAGGCTGAGCGAGACTCGGTTCCTCTGGCTCCACAGGAAAAGGCCTGAGAGTTGACAGCGGGGAAGAAGGGGTCCTGTCTACTGATAGGCGGCTTCCTTTCAGCGTGATGAGAACATTCTAGATTGTGGTGACGGGTGCCCAACTCCATGAAGGTACAAAGTTGCACTGAGTTGTACAACTTCATGAACTGCCTGGTGTGCGGACTGAACCCCTGTAGCATTGTTTTTAGAAACTGCCCACGGGGAGGTTAGCTCATGGAAGCCACTTAGCTCATGAGAAGAGAGCCGTTTTGGTGGGGTGATAAGAAGATACTCACTGGAAGGGTTCCAGAGAGGAGGCGAGGGTGAGATGTGGCAACAGTTGGAGAAGGAAGAGGAGACAGAAATTTTGCAAAGCAAGAAACGAGGTTTGTTTTGCTTGCTCTTGGGAATAACCTTGCAGAGCTGCAAAGACGGGTGATGTAAGAACGACCGAGCAGAATGCTCATGGCAGAGAGAGGAGTGGACTCTGGGTGCCCGCGGAGGTCTCCAGACCAATCAAGGAGGGCAACAGTGGGTCCACGTGAAGGCAGGACGCAGAGGTGCATGCTGGTGGCAGTACTAATGATTTGCTCAACTGTCAGGGAAAATAACGTATGACTCATGGGCACCTGAGACTTGTGTTCACGTGTTTATGGTCTCAAATGCCTTTTTTTTTCAGCCACCTACAGCAACAGGTGCATGGAAACATGGTTCTAACTAGACCTGGCATTCTCCAAAGCTGTCTTCCCAGAAAAAAAAAAAAAAACACACAACACGGGACACAGTTTATATTGCTTAACACCAATATGTCACTTTATTATAATTTGGATTTTTCCCCCTCATTTGTCACATATCTGTCAATGTTTACACAATGAGGAAAATCAACCAGCACTGGAAGCAACTGACCAAGCGGGCTGCAAATTTGTACCCTCCTAACTCATGTCAGGCCTTCCTTGGCAAGGGTAATTTTCTGTCCGATTCCCTCCCATCTTTCAGCTATTCTTAAAATCGGTGTATCTTTCAGCTATTCTTAAAATCGGTGTTGAGATTGTCACATCTTTAAATACAGATAGAATTGCCAGAAGTACATAATTATATATATATATACACACATACAGAAAAATACAAGACTAATTGCTTTCCCACAATATTTAATTTATACACTACTGTAACTCTATGCAACTTGTGAAGACAGTTTAAGGGGTACAAGAAACTGTTTAGAGCAAGTTAAGTAATTTGGTCCAATATTATCTTTATGGGATAATGGTTCTCCGTTCCCTCCCGTTGATGGGACGACATACGATGACATACAACACATGCACAATCATTCACTTATGAACAGATGAAGACGACGCCACTCAGATTAACATCTGTGGGCCCTGGCGGGGACCCAACCAACCACACACAACTAATAAGGCTATGATACAGCTATGCAGCATAAATGGTCAACACTGCTGATTCAAATGGAGCACCATATATACACCTGATTAGAAAAAAACCATTGAAAACCAAACACAGAGGGGTTTGTTAAAAGGCGCCATTCCCAGGCTACGCAACATCACAGGGAAAGTATTTACACGACTTGGAAAACAGCTGCAACAAAGAATTTATTGCCAATGCCCTTTTATAAACTTCTCTCCTACGTTTAATACAGACGTTATGCTCACAGTCAACGTGAACCACACATCTTGATTCTGGCCCTTTCAAAGATCCCTGCTCAAGAATTTCAAGCAAATGTGTTCTATGGCTTCACCCACACGCCTCCTCTCATCGCTTTTCAATGATAAATATCAAAATGGACTAGAGCTGTAGCATCAAAACTATCTAGCTTAGGTCTGGAAAGTAACAGAAGTGTGTTAAGAATCCTTTCTACTTAGTTGAGTCAGTATACTATGAAATGCAGAGTGGTGAGTACAATATATTCTTCTTAAAGAGTTAGCAAGGTCGGCGTGACTTGAGTCTTTGGTGCTCTGCCCACTCCTCGAGTCACGTGACCAGACGTGACTCAGTCCATCAGTTCAGGGTGACGGCAGGTGAGGGCGGGAGGGCACCTGGGTCCCACCTGTGGCGGGGCTGCCATCCTGGCACCTGGGACCCTCAGCATTTAAGACCCCCCAGGGTGCAGCATGAAAGCCACACTAGCGGCGCCCTGAAATGCGCGGGTCCTAATGAGGGAAGCCGTCCCAGGAGCCGACAATCTGCTCTGAAGGAGTCTTTGTACAGAATAGTTTTCAAATGCAAGTTGCTTATTATTTTGGCAGGAAGGCAAAATGAACAGCACCTCCAGTGGAAAATAACACAACCCAACAACACAAAATGCAAAACATAAAAACACAAAGCAAGCTCTGTGTCGTTGACTTTTTGTACGTGTGAATTTTACCTCTTCGCGTGTTTCTGTGATCAGTTGATTTTCACAGCTGAGTTAAAAGATTTAAAAAAAAAAAAAAAGGAAATAAACTATTACCAAAATCTTAGGAATGATCCCAACAAAATGTTGGGGGCTTTAGTTTCTAAGCTATGGGATTTAGATTTTGCCAACGTCTGTGTGCACCTCCATGTCCACCCTAGACCCTATCGCCCCTTCCAAGTATACATGGTTCCACCCATTTACCAGGGACCCCTGGGTGTCCACCACAGGGCAAGGGTCCACATGGCATTGCTTTGTCCTGTTAGACAGACAGACACTCTAGAAATAGAGTTAAGACATCATCGATTCACTTTATCACATTACAAAATAAGATTGTCTGCTTGTAATTGATTTATCACTACAGGGGGAGCTGCCTTATAAATCTAAGTACTTTCCTTCACCTATTGCAAAAACAAGAGAATCTTTTTTTTCCCCATTCAATTTTAAGAGCCCAGACTTGTTTTCACACTCGAGCTTAAGACAAATAGGTGTGGGTATACTGGGTCAGAGTAGAAGGGCTTTGGGGCAGACGCTGTGTCCCTGCTGCCCGGTGCCCGCTGCCCAGGCCTGTCCCGTCACCACGTTATTGCTTTGGTTCTCTCAGACACTGGTGTGCCCCAGAGCACGGGTCTCTGTGTCACACGGCGGGACAGGAGTTGAGATTTTTCCACAAGGGAAACAAAAGCTTCTCTCTCTCTCTCTCTCTCCCAAGGTTAAGTGCAGAACATCCAATTTCTAAGTGTTCCATTTACATTAGGTTCCAAATATACAATTTAGTTTAATCCCGATCGTCCACATTAAAATTATAAAAGTAAAAATTACACGATAGACTTTTGGGCTGGAAAAAGTAGTCTAGCAGCATGCACAAAGACCATGCACTGTCACAGTCTGGCGAACAAAAGACAACGTAATAAATTAACTGCTCCGAGCGCCCACCAGAAGAGTGACCGAGAGGGGAGCAGGCCAAGCGAGCGGGCTCCGGCCCCGGGGGCTCGTGGGGGCCTCAGATGACGTGGCAGCAGCTGGCCTGGCTGGAGGCGCACAGCAGCCCCTCCTTGGGGCTGCGCTGGATGTTCACAGAGATGGTCTTTTCGCACAGAGGTAGCTGTAGCACGTTGTTTTTCAGGTTCTGGCTCTTGACCCGCTCCAGCTCGGCGGCGGGGGCCGCTATGTGGTCGGAGAAGAACTTGAGGCCGCCCACAGCCGGCGCGGGCCCCCCGTTGCCCGCCGAGCTGATGCACATCTTCCAGGTGGACTTCTCCTGCACCTTGACGCTGGAGAAGGCCAGGCCGCCCTGCGGGTCGAGAATGTACTTGGTGCCGCCGTGCAGCTGCGAGCCCAGGCACAGGCTCACGAGTTTGAGGCTCTGCACCAGCTCGCCGGCCGAGCGCGAGGCCAGCTGCACGGGGCCCACGGGGCCGGCAC